GAGACTATGCACCAACAGACACAATCAGATAAAGAGCTGTATAGAAAACAGCAGCCCAAATCACAGACTGTCACTGACCCGTCCATAGAGAGTGTGCAGAAGCGAGTGTCCCGTCCTGTCCGCCACACAGCAGCATCTGTGAGCCTGACCTCCTTTGCCAAACTTTAGGCTCTGACCTCCGAAAGCACGCTGGTAGATCTTGCCATCGTCAGTACGGCTGAACGGCATACCAAAGTTCTCCAGCTGAAAATAGTTTATAGTTTATATTTGTTGTTTTATACAAGGAAACACACAACAATTCATTCAACCTACAACCAATCATATTTAAGATGCATGGTGTAATGCTGTGCTCCACCTGTAGTATACTGAGTGTTTGGTGTTATAAGTTACGTATTATTCACATTTTTTAATTAAATTAATTGTCTATTAACATTAAAAATCCATGCTGTTAGGTATAAAATGTTTAAAAGTGATTTAACCAGCCATGATGGTAGTTCTTATGGTTATAATAAATAGCCATGTGCAAGTCTTGCTTAAACGACACCTTGTAAAAACAAATTGGTCAATACCTAGATTTGAAAAACACTCCTTACACTAAGATTTTATTCATACAACTTATTTTTCACAACATTGGAAGATAAAACCCAAACGATATGATTCACGTTAAAATGACTATGTTAGAAAAAAACAAAAATAAAAGGTGAGAAATGACGATTGTTCCCCAGTCGCTCACCTCCACCACTGCTGCAGGAGCCTGCTCAGTCATGTAGTGAATGGCATCCTGGTCTCCCAGCCAATCAGAGCCCTTCACCGTGTCATAAAAGTGCCAACGCCAGTCATCCTGCTCCATGTTGCCTAACGCAGCATTAATGCCACCCTATTAACAAAAGCGAGAAAAAACAACAAGTTATACGTCATCATGATGGAAATATTTAAATGAGGTTATTTTTATTTGAACAAATCAATCATGGAATTTAAAATCAATCTTTTATCCAGTACTATTGGTGTTACTTTAATAGAAAAAATAACTATAGAGGAGAGCATTTCTTTAAATATTTGCCATATATTAGCTTATGCATGTATATTATTTTACTTAAACTGTTCATGTTTTTTATATATGTTTAAATAAATCTGTCATTGCTTACACTCAAAGTATAAAACTTGTAAATACGTTTGTGCAATTATAATAATTTTGTTTTGAGTGTTAATATTTTGTATTAGTGTTGTAATACTTGAATCATCGGGGATGGGGCGCTTTAAAATATATAATATAATATAATATAATATAACATAATATAATATAATGTAAATTCTGCCCTCTATTTAATTATTTTTACTTTAGAATTAGTGGCAATTGACCAACAATTGCTTTTAATCACCAACATCAAAACAGAACAATGACAAACTCACTTACATAATCATTAATTGTTAACTAAATTTTTTTGAACATAGACGGTTTACTATGAAAAATATATTGTAATTATATTGTAATATATATATATATATATTAAAAAATTAAGTTTGATTTTTTACAGCAGTTACCTTCTATGCAATATAGAATTATTTGCTATAATCAAAGACTGAGAGCAGATGAATATTCTGAGATAATATTCAGTATGTATTAATTATAACAACACCTAAAGCAACACTTATCAGTGCTTTTTCCCAGCGTTTCAAAGGTTAAGCTGCCTTGTCAACTTTGGACTTCACTGCACAGATTTGAGAGGATCTAAAGAACAGATTTTCATTCAGCCTCTTCCTCAGCAAACAACATGATCCCTATGCATTAGCGACTTCACATTATTCACAGCCCCAATACACCTAAATTCAATGTTATAGGGCTGAACGATATTGGACAAATTTGACATTTTGCAACTATATTTATTGAGATATAAATATAATTTCGCCAGTTGACTTGAATAGTTCTATTTGGAAAGATTTCATTAATTTAGATCGACTAGGGTGATCAAGTCTTTTTCTGCGCCTTACATCTGCATTAAATGAAATAAATTAAGCATATATAAATGTGACGGAGGACAAACAAAGGTTAAATAAAAAGTATGTTACGGCTATCTGGCCTAACAGTATTCAGATATAAAAATTTAACAAACGTAAAACAACTTGGGCATCTTTGTATAAATGATTGTATATTCTAAATCTAATCCTGCGATGTGACTATTGCAAATACAAATGCTGTGATGCTCAAACAATATATTGTTCAGTTGTAGCATGTTAGTCTTAAAGATATATATCATCTCAATGTGCTCCAAAATGGGGACAAAATAAACATTTACAAGACATATAAACATCCAAAACTTTACGTTTGCCACTTCAGTCTAAATCGATCAACTACTTATTGACGTCATCACATACTTTAGATTCTCATCAAATTTTCCAACCAATCAAATGCTCTCTAGTGTGACATGCCCCGCCCCCTTCAAGACACCTGTCATTTGCTTTTCATTTGATGCGCTTGAGCTCAACCACTTCAGAGCTGTGATATAAACAAAACTCAATTGGCTGTTTTTTTTTAAAGGGGGAGGGGCTCATATACGTCCCACCCTGTCTTCATGCTTTAATTAAAAACACATCAAAATAAATTACACATTTCAAAGCACTTTAAGTGACCTTAAATATCAGTAAAAAACATAAATCAGCAAAAGAAATGGATGTTTGCAGTATATGAAAGAAAAAAAAAAAGGTTGACATTGACATTTAGGAGAAATGGTCAAACCTGTGCAGCCACTGTGTGCGAGCGTGTTGGGAAAAGTTTGGTGACACAGGCAGTGTTGAAGCCGGCCTCAGACAGACCGAACGCTGCACGCAGCCCGGCACCGCCAGCTCCAACCACGACTGCATCAAACTCATGATCTACTACTGGATACTGATTGGAGACCTGTCAAGACAAATACCAAAAACACTGATCAAACAAGGCATTTGGCATCTAATATTACCTATTTACACTGATCAACTGGAACTAGATCTCAACAAAAGTATAATAGTCTGCAATGATGAATAACGCAAATAAGAGTCAGTGGCAGATCCTGTTTGTTTAAAAGCCATTGAAACAAAACGAGGAAGTAGAAAAAATACTTACTCCATCTGAGATTTTTGCGTCTCCCCTTTTTCCATAGATGGAGAAATGCAACTGACGGTTCGCTTGGCACACTGCTGGTAGCTGCATTGAACAACAAATACTTGTAATCAAATCAAACTCTAAAGTGAATCGGTTTTGGGATATTTCCGTCATTTTTCTTCATGTATTACTAAATATTCGCTGATTCATTTTCCTATTCACCTCCCTTTCTCACTCTTTATCATTAAAATTAAATAGACTTGTGATTTTTTTTTCTGACTTCAAAAATAAAATATGACTAATGCGTTTCATTTTTAGAAATAAAAATAATAAAACTAACAACAAAAACTTGAAAGAAACTACTAATAATAAGTGCAGTAACGTTACATAGATAACGTTAGCTACGACAGAATTATATGTATGCAGGTCTTTATTGGAATCAATGAGATATTTGGTTAAGTTTAATTATAACAAAACTTACGTTTGGGTAATTATACTGTTGATTTATGCAAGGACAACCGTATGACGAAACTATTTGCTACATATTTTTGTATGTCTATAATTGTTAGCACACATCTACTCACTTCAACAGCTGACAGCAGCTGGTCAGTTTTATCCCTAACGAAAACAATCCACAATATTAAAGTCAATTTACATAAAAACTTGTTTTTAAAACCACAAACAAAACGAAATGGAAGAAATATCGTGCTTTTATACCATTAAATAGTGTTCAGATATAAAGGAATAGCTTGAAAACTCAGCATCGCATGGCTAACGCTAACGCTGCCTGCTTGACCTTCAGTGGACTCGTGTTTACAAATTATCTAAACGTTCCGTTTATGAAACGACACGTGATATTGAAATAAAAACACTCTAGCTAGGTTGCCAAATGTACAATATGTGTTAATAAAATAGTAAATTCTATAATACACAACGCTCCACTCATAAAAAAGGTTCATTGATACTACGTAATGCTGTTACTTAACACAGAAGAAGATGGTTACAAAACATTGAACACTGCTAAAGACGCGTGTCATACGAGTATAAAGGCAGTAAACTGTCGGTCTGCATTGGTCAGATGACACTAAATGAAACTGTATTTCATAAGTAAGAGAAGACTTACAGATTTACATGACAAAATCTTTGTCCCGAGGACACGGGATGCAGCGCACACCGCAGCCATGTTGCTCGATTGGTTCGGACTGATTTTTTTCGTTTGTGATGTAACGCAAGTCGTTGTGGTGGGAACTTTGAGTCATTTCCCCAAATCGGTTCTTTTGAACAGCTAAAAATGATTCACCATTTTTTTCTCCGACTTCATAGATATCTATGCTCCGACTTCAATACTGTGTTGACTGCGCACACTATTTAGTCTGAGTTTGCTAATATTTAGAAAATATACAATACAAATTATTTGTATGTTTTTAAAGGGAGTTTTTTATTTGAATATAATACAATATAATGTAATATAATATAATATAATATAATATAATATAATATAATATAATATAATATAATATAATATGTTTTCCCAGAGATGGGTTGTAGCTGGAAGGGCATCCGCTGCGTAAAAACTTGCTGGATGAGTTGGCGGTTCATTTCACAGTGGCGACCTCGGAATAATAAAGGGACTAAGCCGACAAGAAAATGAATGAATGAATGATAATATATGCAACATATTATCAGTTTATTATTATTTATAAATACATTATTATTATTTTTTTATTATTATTATTATTATCATCATTATTATAATTATTAATATTATTATTATAAGATATAATTTACAGATTAAGTATTTTATTTGGAGATAATTGAATAGAAAAAGTGATATTATTATAAACGCAAATTAAACGTTCATTGAAAGATCCGATTCAAAAGAATGATTCAGGAATCGGACATCTGTTTAGTGAGGACTATACCAATATTTGTTCAAAGTAGGGGGACTGCGTGGGTTCTCGTTATGTAGAAAACCGAAACAAACATGCTCTGACGCTCGGTGGAGTCACTGCAAATGTTATTGCATATACTGTAGCCCTCACACTTCAAGAAATCTATTATAAGTAAAAGTATAAGCATTGTTTACCCTTTGGGTTGTTGTATCGTGGAGGAGACTATTTGAATTAATTCGAGAAGGACAAGTGCTCTGAATGCTCGTGAGGTAATAAGACCTAGGTTATACCGACTTTTGATGTGACGCGAATATTGTGCTAGCATGATCAATGTAAGTATTAGATGTCAAATAAATAGTAATTGACCAAATGACATATGAATGTCGTGGAAACAGGAAGTATCATATTTCAGCTAGGAAGGTCTAGCGCGGCTGAAGTGTCGAGTTATGAACTGAATGACAATGCAACATCAGTATCATTATATTTGCATGAAGACAATAATTTATCACTATATGTAATAGAAATTAAGATAAAAGATATTTTTTAACTGTATGTTTTATTACTGTATGATTTTTTTTACTGATTTACAGTTCACTGTAACATCAGTTTACTGATTTACAGTTCACCTTCTTGAATCACAGGTCATATGTTGCATTTAAAGTCTGTTTATTTTTCATCCGCAGTCCACATGAATAACCTGAATGACCCTGACTGGAATATCAGGCCAGAGAGGCAAGGAGATGGAGGTGACAGCAGCAAGTGGAACTATGCCCTCCTGGTGCCTCTGCTGGGGCTCGCTGCTTTTCGTATGTAATCTATTGGCCTTAAAGCTAGTTTACTTTACACTAGAATGAAAGTTCTGTCATCATTTACTCACCCTGAAGTCATTCTTTAGAACACAAAAGAAAATATTCAAAGTCCTACATTTCTGAGGACTTAAATATGCTTAAATAGATGTGTCTTTACAGTCGGACTGTGATTAAGGTGGTTAATTAATATTTTAAAATCTTTTTTCAACATTTTAAGTGTAAAAACATTGGGTGAATAGACTTTAATGCAGAGACAGAGTCTCAAATTTGATTTAATAAAAAATAAATCTTAATTTAGGTTCTGAAAGGGAAATATTTTTAATAAACTATCTCTTTATGGCACCATTTTAGAAGTAGGTCTTAGTTAAACTTCGCCGCTTGAGCTAAAACAATGGACCTACAGTACATATCACTGCAAGTTATTAATCCTAATCCTACCTTAAAGGGATAGTTCACCCAAAAAATTTAATTTCTTTTTATCTTTTAAAAAGATATGAGTGTATTTTTAAGAATGTTGAACACTGATAGCCGTTGACTTTTCTAATATTTTTTTTCTAATCTACTAAAAAATTCAGTAGCTATGTTTCCATCCACCAATCTTATCCACATATCACATGCTTAATGGAAATGCACATTTTGAAAAACTTATGGGATAACTTATAGGATAAATGTTTTATCCAATAATAAAAGTGTACATAAAATATGGTGGAAACCGATTTAGCAAGGACATTCCAACATGTGCTTTAAAGAAGTCATTTGATTTAATTGAAATGTTGTTTTGCTCATTTTAAAATCCCTCAGCCAAAGTCCATCATCAAATTGGTTCAGTATTATTACTTCCAGAACTGTCTTGAGCGTCTGCTCTCTTAAAGAGCATCAAATGCCTCTAAAAACAACCATGCGTTATTACAATTACAACTATTAATTTATTACTCTCAAAAATGACAATTGCTGTTTGTTCAAACCAGGCCCGTGCAGAGACTGTCCAAAGGGCATGTGAAGGATACATTTTTTTAAGAGGGGGGGGGGTATATGTTGTTGTCGCGCGCGTACTGAAGAGCGGTGTTGTTGCGCGCGTACTGTAAAGAGGGGGGGGGGGTGGGGGCGCGCGTACTCAAGAGCGGTGTTGTCGCGCGTCTACTTAAGGGCGGTAGGGTGGAGGGGGGGTGTCGCGGGGGCACTTTTAATCATTTTGGAAGGGCACTTTCTATCCAAGACTAAAAAGGGCATGTGCACTGCACAGGTTGAGCCCTATGTGTGCACGTGCCTGGTTCAAACTATTTATTTAAAACGAGCTGAAACAACACAATTCTTGAGTTTCTGTGGGACAACTTCATTTTTTTTTTGTTCAATCCATTCACATTTGTAAAAACTATTTAGTTAATTTAATTCCTTCATGATGTCTCAACACGATTATGTGAAACCCAGCATTTTTTTAGTGTATATAAGGAAAAATGGCCACAGTAACTTTTCCTGCCACAGAAAATTCAATTTTTCTATTTGATATTTGGTGCCATTTTATCAAGACAATTTTGCTCTCTTTGACTCATTGGATTGAAACTGTGCTTTATTTGCAAGGTTTCATACGATATTCCAGTTTTGCGCATGCTTAATTTGCATCTTTAAAAAAGAAACGGTAATGGCTACCGGATTCCAACGTTCTTCGTAAAATTTGTAGGATGAGCAAACTGTATGCTGTTACAGTTTTGCAAATGATCCATTTTCTGCTGGATTTTGCCCAACAGTTTTTAACATTTACACATTTATTTGTATCGAAACCTTCTTTATTTATAATTTATTACATAGATTATACTTCTGTTTACTTTTTTGCATGCCTATTTTGTACGTATTTTATATTTTGAATATGCATTAAACTTTATTGGCATTCAGTGTTTAGTAAGAATAGCGTTGTACAGGTGCATATGACAATAAACACTTTGAATCTTGAATCTATCCCTTCATCTTGTGCTCTTTCTTAGGATGGATCTGGTCCAAGGAGTCTGAGAAAGAAATCGAAGATGCCAAGGTCAAGTATGAAAACACTGTGAAGACAATCCAGAAGGACCTGGACGTCAAATACCGACAGACGCTTTCAGAAAACCGCAGGGAAACCGTTCAGCTGGAGCTTGATCTGGAGAAGGAAAAGCAGCGAGCACAAGGCTACCGACAAGCGCTGGCATCCCAGAGTCAGAAGCTCCAGGAGGAGCGTCGAGAACTCAGCCTGCAGCGGCAAGCTTTAGAAAACGAGAAATTAAGATTACTTCAAGAAGGACCTGGTGCTGCGCTCTTCCACTCGGCTCTGGAGAAGGAAAAAGAGCGCGAGCAGAGGACCACTTTGGCTCTGAAGCAAGTAGAATACGGCCTGGTGGAAAGACAGAGGGCCTTCTGCAGTATTTTGGTGCCCCGCGCGAGGAGGGTGGAGATGGAGAAGGATCTTCTGGTTCGTACGGCCAAAGAGCCTCTTCTTGCTCATCTGGAGATGGAGGATGGACTCAGGGATGTTTTTAAGAATGACCGCAGTTGCGCCGAGTATCTGAACACAAATGAACGCAAGAATGGCAGTCTGATGTGGCTTTATCTTAGATACTGGCAGACGCAGGTCACTCTTCAAACGCACCAGAGAGCCGAGGCTGCTGTACTCGGCATACAGACTAAAAAGTGACTTTAGTACAGAAAATTATGTATCTGAATTGATCCTATCTCAAATAAAGGTTTGGTTTTGTGCTATACACACAGTGCTTTCATCATGGATCATCGGTCGGCCATATTGCAGAGCAGAAAGGCACATATCTGACAAAACATACATACTTTGCTAGTCATGGTTGAGGAAATTGATCATTAATTTTCCCTTGGATTAGTCTCTATTTCAGAGGTCGGCACAGTGGAATGAACTGCCAACTATTCCAGCATATGCTTTACATGGAAGATCCACTTCAAACCGCAACCCAGTACTGGAAAACACACACTTAATCACACACTCATACACTATGGCTACACCATTTAGTTTATTCAATTCACCTTTTCACCTTTAGAGCATTTGTTTGGACTGTGGTGGAAAACCGGAGCACCTTGAGGAAACCCACATGCAAACTCTACACAGAAATCCCAACTAGCCCAGCTGGGGCTCGAACCAGCAACCTTCATGCTGTGAGGGGACAGTGCTAACCACTGTGCTGTCCTCTGAAATTGATCAATAGTTGTCATTTTTTGGCCTGTAGTAATTGGTCGGACCAGGAAAAATAACAATAGAGCACTAAAGACAGGCAACAAATTGCTAAAATGTTGTCCTTCTTTGTATGATTTAGTAGCTTACACACATTTATCTGTGGTTTAGACAGCGTGGATAAGCAGAAAACGTATTTACAGATTACCTATGCTGTTGTTGATATCTGAGTATCTCCATAATGGCCGCATAGCTCTTTGTGGGAAAAGTTGTGTTAATAACTTAAAACACCTTATGTTCTTAGGGCTGTGTTTAAAATGTTTAACCAAACATTACTAAAATTAAACCATATTGATTATTTGTTGGAGAAACAACACTTAATATGAGTCAGGTTTATTCTTTCATTTGTATTTAAAACTACTTTACTGCAGTATTTGTGTAATATAAATGTGTAACACAATATAACAGTAATTTGTGTAATATAAATTCAATATTTACTCAACATGACGTGGTTTCAAACCTTTATGACTTTGTTTTGTTGAATACACAAGAAGATCATTTGAAAAATGTTAAAAACATGTAGCAATTGACTTTCACTGTAAGAAAAACAAATACTATGAAAGTCAATGAATCTGCATTTTTCGGACTTTAATATTCAGAATCTTTTTCTTCATTCAGTAGAAGAAAGAAGTGAATTAGTGACAGAATTTTTATTTTTGGTTGAATTAATCTTTTAGGTTTTACTATATCCCTGCATGTAATATACTCTTTCGCTAATGCATTTTTTCCGTGAGTATTCTCTCTTGACTCTTGAAAGATTTAATTTTTTTCTCAGTAAATACATTTTTGCTGCTGATATGAAATTGACCCAGATTATGAATGTGAATAGTTATGTGAAAGACTCCCGGAAATTCCCTATAACAAACAAGAGTAGACAAGCCCATCGGGTTGGCAATTTAACAAGCTCTGCATTTGCAAACCTGTTTAATCGTGAAAAGATTCAAAGGAAAACACATCACATGATTATATTGATCAAACTATTTGGATCTTTAAAGGGAAGGTAAGTAAATATAGCATATTACATGTAGTCTTAAAAGAATGTAGATTTGAGGTATATGGGGAACCTAAGTATTGAACAGGTCATGTTTTTTCCTGGGAACAATATTTTTAAAGGAGCTGTTGACATGGAATTGAACCAGATTTTGTCAAATCTGAAGTCTGAAAAATTAGTTGTGTGTTATAACAATGAAATGACACAAGGAGAAAGTGCTAAACTACTGAAATGTGTTGAATACTTTATATAAAAGACTTTTTTGGTGATGGCAGCTTATAGACACCTCTCATATGGAGCATTGTTCAGGTGTGAGTTTTTTCACAGACTTCAACAGAGTGTAAAACTCTTGCTGGTTGTGTGGGTCTCATCTATCAAAAATGATCTTTATTTTGTGTTCTCTATTGGATTTATATCAGGTGATTGGCTGGCCCATTCTATGGCTTTATTTTCTTTCTCTGAAAGCATTTGAGAGTTTCCTTGGTTGTGTTTTAAATCATTGTCTTGTTGAAATGTCCACTCTGGTTTTATCTGCATCTTCCTGCTAATGTAGATGTTGGACTGAAGCAGCTCATATTCAAATACAATGACGAAGGGCAGAGGGTTGCTGAAGAACTACGGACATTTCAGCTGCTGTCTGGGCTTTCACTGCTTTTCTACACCTCCCTTTCTTCATGTGTTCATTATTTATTCCAATGTTGTTACATTTTATTATACAACTTTATTTTGGGATTCCCCCATTGTACATGGTGTTCAAACTAACTTCATTTTCGCAGTATTCTGACACTATTTTTTTACACCTTAACAGACAGAATGAATGATCAGAATGCTTCTGTGCAAAGGAGTAATGATGAGCCTAAATGTTACTGGAACTGGCCTCTGCTGATCTCAGTGTCTGGCTTAGCATTGTACCGTAAGCATTTCAGTATTCTTAGGTACAAAAAAATTACTAAAAACAATAAATTTATTAATTAATTAACGATTCAACGTCTTTCTGTGTTGACTGTTTTCTGTGCTTATTTTCCGAATGGTTAACGCAAAGGAGACTGAAAAATGAGCTTGACTGCTTGAGGAGAAGCATTGGGAGAGACAGAATGGAGGATAAAGGGATAGCTATTATTCGTGAAATCCGCAGGCTGCTTTATGCTAGACAAGAAGTCGTTTGCGGCTATCGTGAGCCCCATGTTACTTTAAGGTTAATAGAGGAAGAGATAAACTTGTTGATATCCAATGACCCTATAGCACGTCAACTCAATATGCAGGCTGATATCACAAAGTACTTCCAGCGCTCTGTAGACTTCTCAAGATCACCAATACACGACTGTGTTGCAGACTTGCAGACAAAACTGGACCGTTTAATAGAAAGCCAGAAAAATTAGAAGACATTTTAATAAACAGATTTGACACCATAATTGTAAGTTTGCATGTTGTTTATTATTGTCGATTATGATTTACTTTCTCGTGTGAATTGATATTGTTTTGAGTTATTCAAATTAGTTTCTGTCATGATTTGCTGTGAGCTAAAACTAAACCAAAGATAAATCTGTATCTTGCATGGTTTGTTTTTTTTAGTTAATAAATGAATACAAAAAGGCCTGAGAGCTTTCTTTCTTAAAAACAACAACAACAAAAATTAAACAATTAAAAGAAGCATTTAATTTTAGTATGAAAAGGGTTTAAGAATCTAACATTTTTTAAATTATAAAAGTCACTTGTAGAATGTAAAGATTCGACAAATGTTTAAAGGATAGTTCACCCAAAATTGAAAAATTGCCAACTTTCCTTATACTACTTCATGACTTTCTTTCCTAAGTTGAACACAGAAGATATTTGAAATATGTTGGTTTGCTACCACCAATTGACTTCCATTGTAGAGGAAAAATACTTTTGAAATCAGTGGGTCCCACTAATATTTAAAAAATATATATTAATTTATGTTCAACATAAAAAAAAACTCATGAGGGAGAATAAAAAATGAAGTAATTTTTAATTTTGGGTGAACTATCCTTTTGTGGAACCTTCCATTCCACAAGTGTTCTCAAGAAAGAAACTAAATTTGAAGTGAAGTGTGATTAAAAGACAGAATTTCATCATTGGGTGAATTATTCCTTTAAATTTTCTTTTTGGAACGTTCGATGCCAATTTAATAATAATAATAATAATAATAATAATAATAATAATAATGTGTTTCCCAATACATTTCTCAGAATAAAGTAGGTCTTTTATACAAGAAACTCTAGACATCTTTTTCTTTCTCAGTCTTTTTTTGAATGGCGCCCTCTCGAACATATTCATAACCAGGGATTATCTTCAAAAATATATGAATAACAAATAAATCCAGTCAGCTGGGCGCAAGTCTCTGATCTAACCGTACAGTGATGCGATTGGATGGCTGACGGAGTGGGCGGAGTTATCTGACTCTCTAAGCTCGTCATGTAATGTTCTGTCAGACAGTGGAGGTCAGCTCACATCCCTCGGTAAATAAATGACATGCTTTCAACACTCCATCGATACAGGTGCAGCAACGTCTATGATTATGCTCATAAAATGTCCATGCTCATCTCAAGTTCACGACATTTTAAGGTATGACTTTTGAGTGATTCTGTGTGTTCATTAATGGTGCTTGACAGTGACCTACATTTAGACGTTTGGTCTGTCTTACCGTCAGAAAGTTCCCCTAACCATAGTAGGCTTATAATTGATTTTAATTGAATACTTTTTATACATTATCTTTTATATTTACAGACCAAGATGTATTTATTCTTACCTATGCACAGAACAGCACCTCCAGCTCAGGAGATGTTGATGCTCCAGATGTCCCTGATGTCATCATTGTAGGGGCCGGGGTTTTGGGCTCCTCACTGGCATCAGTTCTTGGTCAAGATGGACGAAAGGTTACAGTGATTGAGAGGAGTCTGAGAGAGCCGGACAGAATAGTTGGTGAACTGCTTCAACCTGGTGGATATCGTGCACTCATAGAATTAGGCCTGGAGAGTGAGTTTCTTTTTGATCATCCAGTCACCATGCTTCAGTTTCCATTCTGAGCCATGATCCCTCTTTCCTATAGAGTCGGTAGAGGGGTTGAATGCACAGATTGTGAATGGTTATATCATCCATGACACTGAAAGCAGGATGGTTGTGGAGATTCCTTACTCTGAAGATCAGGATCAGTGTGGAAGAGCTTTCCATCATGGCCGCTTCATCATGGGGCTGCGCAGAGCTGCACTGGCAGAGCCAAAGTACCACAAACACATGGTGTGTTCAAAATTCATATTTTTGTAATTATGCATTTTAAATGACATATTTACCTGGTATTTTTTGAGTGTGAGGTTCATTGAAGGCACGGTGACATATCTTGAAGAAGAAAATGGCTGTGTTAAAGGAGTCCAGTACAAGGATAAGGATTCTGGGAAAATACAGGTTAGTCAAAAAAAGATCATGTTTATAGCTAAAAAAAGATTAACACAAAATGTCTAATGCTGCCTAATAAAAAAATGTCAAATTCTATACTAAAAAGCAATCATTTGACTTTACTTGGATAGTTGTTACATTGGTCACACTTTATCATAAGGTTTTATTAGTTCATGTATTTAACTTGAACTATTTATAAACAACACAACTTTCAAACCATTTATTAATCATAATTTAACATTAACGATGCATTGATAAAATCCAAATTCATACTTGTTGACATTAGCTATTGCACAGCGAGTTAACATGAACCAACAATGAATAAATGTATTATCATGAACTAACGTTATCTGACATGAACAAATGCTGTAATAAATGTATTGTTCATTGTCTGTTCATGTTAGTAAATGCATGAACTAAGATTAACTAACACAACCTTATTGTAAAGTGTGACCAATACATTACTCACTGCTTGCACACCCTCAAGTTGTTCAAAATCTTTTTTTTTTCAGTTCAAACTGAAGAAAACATTGACTTCCATAGTAGGAAACACAAATACTATGGAAGTCAATAGTTACAGGTTTCCAACATTTTTCTAAATCACTTCTTTTGTGTTTAACTTGAAAAAAAGAAACTCAAACAGGTCTGTGACAACTGGAAATGCTCGATTTTAGGTGAACTATCCCTCTAAAATGAGTAACCCTGTTGACTTTAATGTAACTAATGGTTTGTAACCAAACTTTGTGCATAGCTATACAAATTAAGTAAACCGTTACAGGTTAGAAAAGTAAAGTAACTAATAATCGCTTTTTACTGTGTATCATGAACTCATCAAAATAGTGTAAAATAGTCTGTGTTACAGTACATTGACATAAGTGGTCAGTTTACCTTATGATGATCAAATATAAATCAAGAAATGTTAATGTAATCTGAAAGATTCTGTCCCTCTATTGAACATATACTGACTCAAATTTTTATGACATTCACAAAGAGGTCACAGAATGAATCTAAATGAATCCAGGCCTTCTGAAGCAACACAATCAGTAATAAACAGATTTATTTTGTATTTTTATTCACATATCAACATGAGCGACCAATTCAATTCAATCATAACTTCTTGACACACAAGAATGAACCTCATTGGTACTTATGTCTCATGCTAGTATGCTTGAGCTTCCATGACTAACCATAACTAAGGACTTTTATAGTGTTTAAATATATTAGATTGCATCATCTTATCAAAATAAAGTTGTAAAATTTCAAAAGTTCCCAATTTTTGTGAAAAATGCTTCTGAAAAAAAGGTTAAAAGTTCAGAAAAGAATTGTTATCTGGTTCAGAAATGTATGAATTGATGGTAGTTTTCATGATGCCTTCACATTAAAACCACAAATGATTATCATTCATTCATTTTCTTGTCGGCTTAGTCCCTTTATTAATCCGGGGTCGCCACAGCGGAATGAACCGCCAACTTATCCAGCAAGTTTTTACGCAGCGGGTGACCTTCCAGCCGCAACCCATCCTTGTCAAACATCCACACACACACTCATACACTACGGACAATTTAGCCTACCCAATTCACCTGTACCGCATGTCTTTGGACTGTGGGGGAAACCGGAGCACCCGGAGGAAACCCACGCGAAGGCAGGGAGAACATGCAAACTCCATACAGAAATGCCAACTGAGCCGAGGTTTGAACCAGCGACCTTCCTGTTTTGAGGCATAGCACTACACACTGCGCCACTGCCTCGCCTACAAATGATTATCAAAGGATAAAAAAAACAACATATTTCAAAAGACTGACCAAAACACCCCAAAATAATTCAAGAACTAAGCAGTGGATTTTATTCAGCAAATGCAAACATTTTTATAGCCAAATCTCACAGATGTCAGAAAGAGCATGCTTCACATACTGTACTTACGCATGGGCTATGTGTTGCAGAGGTTACACGCTCCTCTAACAGTGGTGGCGGATGGATGTTTTTCAAACTTCAGAAAGAGTTTGAGCTCAGAAACTGTTCAAGTCTGTTCCAACTTTGTAGGCTGCATAATGAAGGTTTACACATTATTTGAACATACTAATAAATCATTTTACTTTAAATTGTGATTCACATGTAAACCCTGCCTTTCTTGCTTTGCTTTGTCTCATCAGAATTCTCCTCAGCTTAAGCCCAACTATGCAGAGCTGGTTCTGAGCTGTCACGGGCCGCTTCTGATCTACCAGATCTCCTCTACTGACACACGTGTGCTAGTGGACATACAGGGACGTCTGCCCAAAAACCTCAAACAATACATGACTGAGGAGATCCACCCAAAACTGCCAGGTCAGAAAATAAACATCACAGACCTCAGTCAGGTTATACGTTATGTTGATGAAAAGCTGCGAGGAATTGATAAAATCTTTGCAATGTTACACATTCTGCCAGAAAATAATGTGTTCAAACTGCTTATTTAGAATGAGCTGCAACAACACAATTATTAAGGTTTTATTTGGGACAACCTAATTGTTTTATGTTCAATCCACTTACATTTGTAATAATGAATAAGGTAACCTAATTCCATCATGTTGTCTCTACACAAATAGATTTGTGAGGAACACAGTTTCACACAGTTCATTCATGTCATCCTAAGTGAAAGTAACACATTTATGAAAATTAAACATAAAACAATTTAGTTTTTCCCCCAAAACTCTCCAGAATTGTGTTGTATCAGCTCATTTTAAATAAGTAGTTTGAACGAGCAGCAAACATTATTTTATTTGAGTGTAATGCCCTATATCACATAGTTGTAGTAACCCACAAGTCTTAAAACTTGTTTGTGTTTTCCTAATAGATCACTTGAAGGAGCCATTTTTGTTGGCTGTACAAAATAACCGTCTGAAATCCATGCCAGCAAGTTTCCTGCCCTCATCACCTGTCAGTAAACCAGGTAAATGCTCAGTATATGGTAGAGATCCAGCAATGTCAGTTGCTCATTATAGTCTGAAAAAATTATTAAGACTAAATGAAGACAGATTTTTTTTTGGGTCAACTATACGTCTAAAAGAGAGTAAACCTGTTGCTTATATACATATGTATATATATAGTTGAAGTCAGAATTATTAGCCCCCTTGACTTATTAGCGCCTGTTTATTTCCCAAATTTCTGTTTAACCGAGGGAAGATTGTTTCAGCACATTTCTAAGCA